AAATCGCCACCGTCACCAAAATCAACCAGCCCTTCCACCACTATCACCACCACCACCACCACTACAAGCATCGCCACCACCACCACAAGCACCAGCACCACCAGCACCACCAGCATCACCACCACCACCACCACCACCACCACCACCACCATACTACCACGACCACCAGCACCACGACCACCGCCACCAGCATCACCACCATCACTACCACCACCAGTACCACCACCACCACCACCACCACCACCACCACCAGTACCACCAGCACCACCACCAGTACCACCACCACCAGTACCACCACCACCACCACCAGTACCACCACCACCACCACCACCACCACCACCACCCCCAGTACCAGCACCACCACCACCACCAGTACCACCACCACCACCACCAATAGCACCACCAGCACCACCAGCACCACCAGCACCATCACCAGTACCACCACCACCACCACCACCACTACCATCACCAGCACCACCACCACCACCACTACCATCACCAGCACCACCACCAGCACCACCAGCACCACCACCAGCACTACCACCAACCACCCCACCAGCACCACCACCAGCACCACCACCAGCACCACCAGCCACCACCACCACCAGCACCCCCACCAGCACCACCCAGCACCACCACCAGCACCACCACCAGCACCACCCACCAGCACCACCACCAGCACACCACCACACCACCCACCAACCAACCACCAGCACCACCACCAGCACAACCACACCACCACCAGCACCGCCACCAGCACCACCACCACCACCACCACCACACCACACCACCACCAACCACACCACACCACCACCACACCACCACCACCACCACCACACCACCACCACCACCACCACCACCACCACCACCACCACCACCACCACCCACCCACCACCACCACCACCACACCACACCACCCACCACCACCACCACACCACCACCACCACCACCACCACCACACCACCACTACACCACCACCACCAGCACCACCACACCACCACCACTACACCACACTCACCACCACCAGCACCACCCACCACAGCCACACCACCACCACCACACCACCACCACCACCACCAGCCCACAGCACCACCACCATACCACCACCACACCACACAGCCACCACCAACCACCAGCACACCCCACCACCACCACCACCACCACCACCAACCACACACCACCATCACATCAAAGCCTCTTCACTGTACCATTCCTCTGCTCTAAGAGTTCTATACTGGGATTCAAGAGGCATCTTAACCTCTTCAATCTGAGGCAATTTGCTAATTGCTTCATCGTGTATCAACTCACACATCACGTCACCAACGGTCTCATTCCAGGACGGAGTATCGAGCCTCCGCCACTCCATGAATGGCGTGTATTCAGTAGCATCTCTGTCACTGCCCAGGTGCTCAGTGGCCCATACAGGTTTAACGCTTAAAATGAATATTTGACTACTGCTGTTACTACTACTACTACTACTATTAATAATAATAATAATAATAATAATAATAATAATAATAATAATAATAATAATAATAATAATAATATAGGAGAGAGCAGCAAGTGTCTGCCAGCAGACAGCCGTCACCCAGTGTTACAAAAAACGCGATTTCTTATAAGCTTAGAAATCTCCAGTGAATACTAGAAAGGACTGCCCTTCTAGCATCCAGCCTGTTACTGGGTTTTCGTAACAAGTAGTCAGTGTCCTGGTCCAATTATCCATTAGAATTCAATAAGAATTAATAGTGCTTCAGGTTATCAACTGGTAGGCTACTAACTAGAGAAATTAAAATTTAATAAATTTATTAATAACAGTCTAGAGGTATAAGATGAAAGTAATAATAATAATAATAATCACTTGTCTCGTGTACAGTAGTATGGTGTTGAAGGCACATATCACATTTATACGTCTTAAGTACCGTCTAGTACATTAACCTTTAATAATGCAATATACAAATAAGTTTGTGTGTATGTGTGTAAGTGCTCTAAGTAGTTCGCTATGTCTCACGACTCGACTAGACTTAAACAAGTGACTGACAAAGTCCTCACATTAACTAACTTCTTGACCACCTGGCAATCAGAACAGCTTGCTTGAACAATAAAACGACTGATAAGCCGAACAGCAATATAACAAGCAAAAGTGACACAGAATCAGGATCAAGGAGATAATATAACGACACTAAGTAGGGACCATCTGCAGATCCTCCACAAAAGTCACAAAACCCCCATACTACTGAATCTAAGTTCAGCATAAGAAAATCCTCGACTGTGACAGTACACAGATACCAGTACAAGTTAGGTCAGAAGCTACAGCTCAGGACCTGAGTTGCTCAGAGTGTCTATGCGACACACAACCTCAGTACAACGTCGAAAATCATTAAGTCTAGACAATGTTCTGTGAACAGAGTTCTACAGAACCAACAAGAAAGCGACAGAGACGATCTTCCAACAAGGGCCAATAAGGGAGAGTTAGGCACGTCTTGTCAGGAATACGTCCATCCACCAAGAGAGTCTAGCCCAGACTGACTACTCCAGGCGAGGTGTGAACACCCCCCCCCTCGATCACGTGATTGCTCCGTGGACAGTTGCTGCCCAGCAACACCGAGAAGCCGGCAGAGTAACGAGCCACGAGCGATAATTACAGTAGTTAGACAATCAAGACTTGAATTATGAGCACTGAATAATATATATATATGTTACATCCTACCTAATAAAAGTAACGAAGTCAAATAATAATATAAAGCAATATATTTACGATTTAGCTATTATCGCAAATATAAGCAATATAAAATTATATGAAAAGATAATATACATCATATACATTGTGACCCATTCAGGGGTCGCAACACCCAGCAGACAGCCGTCACCCAGCAGACAGCCGTCACCCAGCAGACAGCCGTCACCCAGCAGACAGCCGTCACCCAGCAGACAGCCGTCACCCAGCAGACAGCCGTCACCCAGCAGACAGCCGTCACCCAGCAGGCAGCCGTCACCCAGCAGACAGCCGTCACCTGTCCCATGAGCTACCCTGCTGTCTGCTTTTTTCCCCGTGTACACCCATATACTGTCACGTACTCCCATGTACACACTCCTTCACTGCTTTCAACCCTCCCTTCCATCTTCCCTCCCAGCCTCGTTTCCTCCTCTTCTCCCAGGCCCTCTCCCTCCTTCCTTCCTTCCCTCCCAGGTCCTCTTCCTTCCCTCTAGAAAGTTTGTACACCTCCCTTAGTCTGCCAAGTTTATTTCATTAAGATAATCGACCGTTCGTAATCTCCAGTGGTGTTCTGCGTAATATTCCCGTTCACCTGCCCCGGCAGACCTGCCTTTCCCATTTCCCTTTCCCGGCAGACCTGGCTCCCCCATTTCCCTTCCCCGGCAGACCGACTTACCTCCCCCTGTCCCCCAACAATGGCAGATCTGCCGCAAGTGGCAGCAACTGCGTCCGTCGGAGGACGAATGTATTCCATCATCGGCTCCGATCTAGCGGAATGTGGTTGAAAAAAACGTTTAGATCAGGAGAAACAGTTGCCATAAACGATGTTTAGCCCTGTGCAGAGTTTTATCAAGTCACATTTCGGGCTGTGTAGAGCTTTATCAACTATCTGGAAGATTTATTTTTTATTGATCAAAGCTGGACACACCAGCAGTGTGTTGCTACACTATCCTATAAGATAATTACACAGCGAGAGAATAGTTATGTTTGTATTCCATCACGCAGGATGGGACTCATATAAGGCGTTTAAAAACTGCCAGTATGAGCTGGGAAACTTGCATAGGCCAGTGAGGATGTAGTCAAGTATTCCAGGAAGGCTCCATCAGCTACGGCAGCTTCAGAGACTTCCTTCCAGCACAGCTGGAGTTACTATCACTCGGGTATTACTATCTCTCAGGATAGCCTATCCCATGTACCTGAAAAATGGAATAGACGATACATAATAAGTGCTGGAGTTACGGCTGGTTTTTACATTCCCTAAAGAGTGCTGAAGGAGTTACTATGTTTAATATGATGCAGCATGTGTCGTCACTGACCTGATCTTGGACACATGTTGTAAGTGTTCAGACTCTTGTATGTACATGTTGTTAGTCTCTTAAACCGAAGAATGACTGTACTTCTAATCTGTCTATCTTTCTCCTGCTGTGACTGTAATCCTTCATCTGTCTCCTGTTGTGACTAATCCTTCATCTGTCTCCTGTTGTGACTGTAATCCTTCATCTGTCTCCTGCTGTAACTGTAATCCTTCATCTGTCTCCTGCTGTGACTGTAATCCTTCATCTGTCTCCTGCTGTGACTGTAATCCTTCATCTGTCTCCTGTTGTGACTGTAATCCTTCATCTGTCTCCTGTTGTGACTGTAATCCTTCATCTGTCTCCTGTTGTGACTGTAATCCTTCATCTGTCTCCTGTTGTGACTGTAATCCTTCATCTGTCTCCTGTTGTGACTGTAATCCTTCATCTGTCTCCTGCTGTAACTGTAATCCTTCATCTGTCTCCTGCTGTAACTGTAATCCTTCATCTGTCTCCTGCTGTAACTGTAATCCTTCATCTGTCTCCTGCTGTGACTGTAATCCTTCATCTGTCTCCTGCTGTGACTGTAATCCTTCATCTGTCTCCTGTTGTGACTGTAATCCTTCATCTGTCTCCTGTTGTGACTGTAATCCTTCATCTGTCTCCTGTTGTGACTGTAATCCTTCATCTGTCTCCTGCTGTAACTGTAATCCTTCATCTGTCTCCTGTTGTGACTGTAATCCTTCATCTGTCTCCTGCTGTGACTGTAATCCTTCATCTGTCTCCTGTTGTGACTGTAATCCTTCATCTGTCTACAGTATGCCTACGAATTAACATTAACATGACTTGAATGTGAGAAGGACGTACGTACCTCATGTTATGCCTGTCCTTCTTACATGCAACTATTTGTACTCATGTATTTATCAAATCTATTTTTAAAATTGCGGAAGTTGATAGCTTCAATAATGTTATTATCCTCTTGTTGTGGTCCTCAGCCTGGGTTCTCGGTCTCTTCATCTGCAAGGCCATGTCGTACCTGCAGGGAGTGAGTGTCTCAGCTTCCATCAACACCCTGGTGGCCATCTCGGTGGACCGTGCGCTGGCTATCTGCTACCCCATGAGGTGTCAGATCACCTCTCGCACCTGTCGCAGCATCATTGTGGTCATCTGGGCCTTCTCTCTCAGCATCACTCTACCTTGGGCCATCTTCTTCAAGCTGGAACCCATCCCTGATACTGACCTACATGTGAGTCCATGATCTTACTCTTCTCCTTTATTCTCATTTATTTACAGATTTGCTTATAAACTTTACAATTTGTCACATTGTATATCATTCGTATATATAAAATTATTTTTTCTAATTACAGTTGACAAATTTGTTACTAAGTAATGGGATATATTACATATATTTCTATACAACATCGTATATAAAAGCAAGGCAAACTCTATATATATATATATATATATATATATATATATATATTGTGTGTTGTGTGGTGTGTGTGTTGTGTGTGTGTGTGTGTGTGTGTGTGTGTGTGTGTGTGTGTGTGTGTGTGTTTATGTGTATGTGTGAGAGAGAGAAAAAAAAATCAGTCTAAAGAAAATTAAATTATATTTTCTCATTTGTGGAGAGAGTTTAGCTTTAGCTAAAGCTGAAAGCTTAAGCTTCTCCGGCGAAAGGCCTTCTCGAGAAGCTAGGTCAATCAAAGAATCAGCTAGAGTTAAGCTGAAGATTCAGAAATTGTGAAAAGCACCAGCTGCTACGCATTTTTTTTCAGACCAAGCATAGCCAAGCGGAAAGAAATATTGGAAAGACAGTGCCAGGGCCAGGCAGCAGCGAGTGCCAGACAATATAGGAAGGGAAGAAGGAATTAGCGGATAAAAACTCAATTACGGTATTACTGGCGATATTAGACGAATCACATTCGTCTCGCACAATTATTGTTGTACTGGCGAGAGTTATATCCAAGGATGCGCCGCAGTGTCTTCATGGTCAGCCTCCCAGCCTCCCAGCCTCCCAGCCTCCCAGCCTCCCAGCCTCCCAGCCTCCCAGCCTCCCAGCCTCCCAGCCTCGCAGCCTCCCAGCCTCCCAGCCTCCCAGCCTCCCAGCCTCCCAGCCTCCCAGCCTCCTCAGGCTGGAGAGTTTTTTATTTCTAATATCAGGTCGATGACGTAGGAACCGAGAGTAGTACACAGGACAGTGTTGTCGGCTACGACAGTACCTTGTGCTGCTGGCAAGGTCACTATGATTCCCTCAATGATATATTGGTTGAAGGATATTAGTTCACATTTGCAGGAATTCGTGGTTAATCCTAAATTTATTCCTAGTTTTTTTTTTTACTTTTAAATTTACCGAAGTCTTCTAGCAGGGATTCCACAGTGCTAGTTAGGGAGTGTCGTCATTCAAGTGCCAGATGCTGACATCACTTGACAGCCTTCCTGTGCCTTCCTTAACTACCAGGCAGGAGAGAGCACAGGAGGGAGGGGGTAACTCTGCTACACACCGTCATATAAATTTTGCAACACGATTTAATGACCGGATAGAGGGAAGGGTAACGATGAAAGCACAACATCCTCTCTAAGTTAAATGCGTTGGCAAAATGCAATTTAATCATGGCTCCTTGTAATGCGTTGAGGTAGCAACGTGAGGCAGCTGCCTCACACTCCCTTTGAATTCCAAACCCAAGCTGGATTCCTCCATCCTTATTCTTAATGCAGAGACCGAGGCAGGGAAACAAGAGGAACCTGAAGACCTCAGACTCACGGCCTTCTACGGTCCTCACTCTACATGACTCTCAAAATCATAATAACATAATTGCAAACATACTATAGAACGGCTGGAGTTTGAACTCATGGCAAGTGAGTCGTAGAAGTCACAGGCCAGTGTGTTAACCGCTGGGCCAGCTGGCACTAATAAGATTCACCCAACCAGGTATATTTGTGTACACCATAGGGAGGTCAGCATGGGCCAACACTGTGACTACAAATGTAGGTTTTTACAGACTAATCCCACACCAACCACGCTGGTGGTCACAGTGGTGGCCCATGCTAACCTCCCTATGGTGTACACAAATATACCTAGTTAGGTGTATCTTATTACAGCCAGCAGGCCCAGTGGTTAACGCACTCGCCACGCTCCTTACAGTCTTAAAAAAAATCTTGATCACCAAACAAAACACCGCCTTAATAAAGCATTTAGTCTGCCTCTGCATTCACTCTAAAAATTCATTTAACTTAATTATACATTTTCACTCTTGAAATTAAGGAAGCAACGGGCACAGCATGTATAATTCACCCTTGATTAACATTATTCATTTCTTATTTAGTCGATGGAATATTTTAATGAATTTATCTGAACTTTTTCCTCTCCAGGTCAACAAGGTTTGTGTTTTATGCTCTGTGTAATAATTTATATATTTTTTTATTACTAGTGACGCAAGCTGAGGTATTACTGACGCAAGCTGAGTTAGTACTAACGCAAGCTGAGTTATTACTGACGCAAGATGAGTTAGTACTGACGCAAGCTGAGTTAGTACTGACGCAAGCTGAGGTATTACTGAGCAAGATAGACTAACGCAGTGAGTTTTACTGACGCAAGATGAGTTAGTACTGACGCAAGCTGAGTTAGTACTGACGCAAGCTGAGGTATTACTGACGCAAGCTGAGTTAGTACTGACGCAAGCTGAGTTAGTACTGACGCAAGCTGAGTTAGTACTGACGCAAGCTGAGGTATTACTGACGGAAGCTGAGTTAGTACTGACGCAAGCTGAGTTGTATTTGACGCAAGCTGAGTTAGTTACTGACGGCAAGCTGAGTTATACTGACGGAAGCTGAGTTATTACTGACGGAAGCTGAGTTATTACTGACGGAAGCTGAGTTATTACTGACGGAAGCTGAGGTATTACTGACGGAAGCTGAGGTATTACTGGCGGAAGCTGAGTTATTACTGACGCAAGCTGAGTTATTACTGACGGAAGCTGAGTTATTACTGACGGAAGCTGAGTTATTACTGACGGAAGCTGAGGTATTACTGACGGAAGCTGAGTTATTACTGGCGGAAGCTGAGTTATTACTGATGGAAGCTGAGTTATTACTGACGGAAGCTGAGTTATCACTGACGGAAGCTGAGTTATTACTGACGGAAGCTGAGTTATTACTGACGGAAGCTGAGTTATTACTGACGCAAGCTGAGTTATTACTGATGGAAGCTGAGTTATTACTGACGGAAGCTGAGTTATTACTGACGGAAGCTGAGTTATTACTGACGGAAGCTGAGTTATTACTGACGGAAGCTGAGTTATTACTGGCGGAAGCTGAGTTATTACTGACGCAAGCTGAGTTATTACTGACGGTAGCTGAGTTATTACTGACGGAAGCTGAGTTATTACTGACGGAAGCTGAGGTATTACTGACGGAAGCTGAGTTATTACTGGCGGAAGCTGAGTTATTACTGATGGAAGCTGAGTTATTACTGACGGAAGCTGAGTTATTACTGACGGTAGCTGAGTTATTACTGATGGAAGCTGAGTTATTACTGATGGAAGCTGAGTTAGTACTGACGCAAGCTGAGTTATTACTGACGGTAGCTGAGTTATTACTGCGGAAGCTGAGTTATTACTGACGAAGCTGAGTTAATACTTGACGGAAGTGAGGTATACACTGCGGAAGCTGAGTTATTACTGACGGAAGTCTGAATTATTACTGACGGAAGCTGAGTTATTACTAGAAGCTGAGTTATACTGACACAAGCTGAGTTATTATTGACGGAGCGAGTTATTACTGACGAGAAGCTGAGTTATACTGAGAAGCTATATACTGATGAAGCTAGAGTATTACTGACGCAAGCTGGTTATTACTGACGAAAGTGAGGTCATATACTGGCGAAGCTGAGTATTACTGACGGAAGCTGAGTTATTCTGACGGAATGCTGGTATCTGACGGAAGCTGAGTATACTGACGGAAGCGAGTTAATTACTGACGCAAGCTGAGTTATTAATGACGGTAGCTAAGTTTACGATGAGCTGAGTTAGTACTGACGAATGAGGTTTACGACGGAGCTGAGTATTATGATGGAAGCTAGTTATTACTGATGAAGTAGTTATTACTGACGCAAGCTGAGTTATTACTGACGTAGCTGAGTTATTACTGATGGAAGCTGAGTTATTACTGATGGAAGCTGAGTTAGTACTGACGCAAGCTGAGTTAGCACTGACGCAAGCTGAGTTATTACTGACGGAACCTGAGTTATTACTGACGCAAGCTGAGATCACATCACTGTTTAAAAGTTTATATCACTGTCTAAAATTTCACATCACTGTCTAAAAGTTCACATCACTGTCTAAAAGTTCACTCACATCTAAATCACATCACTGTCTAAAATTCACATCACTGTCTAAAAGTCACATCACTGTCTAAAAGTTCACATCACTGTCTAAAAGCTCACATCACTGTCTAAAATTTCACATCACTGTCTAAAAGCTCACATCACTGTCTAAAAGTTCACATCACTGTCTAAAAGCTCACATCACTGTCTAAAATTTCACATCACTGTCTAAAAGCTCACATCACTGTCTAAAAGTTCACATCACTGTCTAAAAGTTCACATCACTGTCTAAAAGTTCACATCACTGTCTAAAAGTTCACATCACTGTCTAAAAGCTCACATCACTGTCTAAAATTTCACATCACTGTCTAAAATTTCACATCACTGTCTAAAAGTTCACATCACTGTCTAAAATTTCACATCACTGTCTAAAAGTTCACATCACTGTCAAAATTTCACATCACTGTCTAAAAGTTCACATCACTGTCTAAAAGTCACATCACTGTCTAAAAGTTCACATCACTGTCTAAAAGTTCACATCACTGTCTAAAAGTTTCACATCACTGTCTAAAAGTTCACATCACTGTCTAAAAGTTCACATCACTGTCTAAAAGTTCACATCACTGTCTAAAAGTTCACATCACTGTCTAAAAGTTCACATCACTGTCTAAAAGTTCACATCACTGTCTAAAAGTTCACATCACTGTCTAAAAGTTCACATCACTGTCTAAAAGTTCACATCACTGTCTAAAAGTTCACATCACTGTCTAAAAGTTCACATCACTGTTTTGTTTCATATTTTTGTCACTGTTATAAGAGTGCCTAAAGATAATCATAAGGCCAAAGATATCTCTCTGGCACTATCTTGCATTTGCATAATTTCCATTTGACGCACTTATGACACTGGCACTGTCTTGCAACTG